GGGTCAACATAGTAGCGTGGAAACCATTCGGCTGCACCTCCTATTCCTTCCCACTAACCGAAGCTTAGGCTTAACAGAGAATATGTCATCACTGCGGAAGTATCCCTCGGCGACTCGGGTCGATTGCGCGAGATGCCTAAGCGTTTTGAAGAGAAGTTACAGAAGTGCAACCAAGTCATCCCCCCTCTCTTTACCTGCGTAAACCATGAACGGCTTTTGTTTAAGGAGGGAGTCCCGTGGGATTACGGTGTTTTTGAGCCATAAAGTTTGTGGCTATATTCTTTTAATACTCGCGTCCCGCCGCTTATTTTATATTCAAAACCATATTCATGCAGAACTTCCTTCACAGGTTCTTATCGTTTCATTAGTTTAAAAGAATTAACGTTTATACGCTAATTGTAACAATATTCGTGCCAGTATGTAATGTTGGACCTCGCCAATTAAGTGAGAATCAATGGATAAGAACTTCAGTTGTCCCTGTTAGCACTCTTCCCCCCCCCCCCCAGACGGGATTTCATCAAATTCAAATAAAAAGTGGACAAGGTATTGTCGTCGTATCTCATAAAACATTACTGTATTGCTGATCAATTAACATGCAGTATAAACTGTTGACCAATACGAGGGACATACCCAGCTGCATCTACGGCTGCAGTATCCCTCATTTTGCCAAGAAACAACTCAAGTAACCAAGTTTCTCGAACTATGGCATGAATAGAATATGAAGGCACTTTTTGAGTACCTCACTCATAACATAATAATAAAACCATTTCCTTTGGCATTAAAAGTATTTATTGCGTCGTTAATCTGTATAACTACATAATTCGAATGGCATACCCGACGAGAAGACTATACTTAATTCGATGAAATATATCCCAAAATCGTAAACCACAACACAGGGATAATGTTCCCTACAACAAAAATCGAATCTACTACTGGAACACACAACCTTACTATGATAACATTTAGCACATAAATTCTCTAAATATACTGCAGTAATCTCACAACAAAGTTATAATAAATCTATTATGGCACTATTACTCTATACTTGAACTAAACATACGAATGTTTGTCTAGTGATATGACTCAGGGAGATCAGAGGTTTCATTCCGGAATCAGCCACATGTAGAAATACACACGAAATTATGCATTCTACAGCCCTACTCTACAATCATGACCAGCGAAGGGGTGTGACGCGGCGCGTATCGGAGCGCAACAAGGGCGGCCTTGTTCCGACAATGATGCCATCCTGACTCCCTCCCCCTACAGGTGGTGAAAAATCAGCCCCAGCTGCACTCTAGACCATGCACGCATCCAACGTTCTAGTTGCAGGGATTATGACTTTACCTTATTAGTAAAGTAGACGAATATCCAGGGCAGAATATCAGGTCAAAGGTCATATCAAGCCGTCTGACATGTATACCGACTGATGAGTCTTTTGACGGTGATTGAGATTCTCTCTCCCATATCTGCTGCGGACCACTACTGTACGAGATTGCGGGATCCGTCTAGGGAGAATAGCCACTCACAACACGAGTTTCTAGCGTGAGGCAGCTTCGAATATGGCACAGCAGCTCAGCCGTTATGTATCCTTACCCCAAAGATTGGGAGGGCGCGGCTTAGCGCTTCAATGGAACATGGCGCAGGATGCGGTTTTCCTGGGTTCTCCTGTGAGTTTCCTCAAAAAAAACCCTCTGCAACCCCGTTAAAACAGTTCCGCAACAGATATGGAAGCCGGATTGGTAAGTGATCAGAAACATACCATATGGTATAAATCTCATTTCATATGGCCACTTTGACCCAAAATCCTTCATTAGTTCATAGACACCGGCCAAAAATGATAGCCTTGAACCAGTCCGAAATACATAGTGTAAATAATTTGTAATTTGGAGTAGAAGCAGCTCAAATAAATGTTTGTTTTACGCACGCTAATTTCTGTTTTCGAGTTCGTTAAAGGCACTTTACACACTGATGGCGAAGTCACTTGGATTGTTAGGCTGCGTTCGCAGAATCCGTGGAATCTGCGGAAAACGATTGTATGCCTATCGATCTAAAGAATTAGCAAAACCCGCAACTGGAAGAACCAGCGAAATCACCGGAGGAGACTTGGTAGACTCAGTTCCGCCCTCTGTGCATTTCTTCAGATCGCACAAACTGCAGACCTCGCGGAATCGGCGGATACTTCAGATCGATACGCATGCGATTCCTCTTTTCACTGATTCCGCGGATTCTGCGCAGTCTGCAGATTCCGCGGAAGCCCTGTATATGAACGCGCCGTTAGCGTTCCTCACAGGTGCGCCCCTATCTACCATTTCAGAAAGTGCAGCTCACTAATAAGAAGAACGCAACGGTCCAAGTGCATCGCCCAAACGATAAGCATGGAATGCACCTTTAATTGGCACTTAACTTAATCATTCCAATTCCGGAATAAGACCCCTACAACAGTGATGGTATTCGCTAAGAAACCATCTGGCTGAACCTTGTTGCCTTATCATAAAACTGCACTGGTGTGCATCTTCTGGAAGAATCTATTTCTAGTAACGAATGAATAATATCGCCTATTTCCTCGTTCGTTGTCTCTGGTAACTCCGGCGGGTCATAGGCATCATAGTTAGCACCAGCAGTGTATAAAAAGAGTTTGCACAAGAAACATTCGTCGAATGGGATCTGCAAATACTTATGTTTATGAATGCAGTATAGCACACCATGAGAGATTTTGTTTCTCGACGATTCCTCAACGAGGTAGCAGTATTTGGCTTGTTGGCAGGGCACGCCATCGCGTTGTGATCATTTTCTGAAAATTACAACACCCCCCTAAATTCCATACTGGAAAACGAGCCCACTTTTTGGAGTTGGCCGACCCGCCCCCTCCACCCTCGTCCTTTCCTCATCGAAACCGAGCCCGTCGGCGGGGGGGGTCGTCAGAATTGAACTATCATTTTCAAGTGTCGGAAATAAGTGCGTCCGTGAACTAACCAAATACGACCCCCCTCCCCTCCCAAAAATGACCAAGTACGAGCCCCCCCCCTTGTACAGCGTTCCGTCGTGAAACAAGCAGCGAGAACTATCAAAAAAATTTTTCACTGGCCAAATACGTCCCCCCTTCCTCGCGGTCTAATACGATGGCGTACCCTGCTTGTTAGCGGCTTCATCGAGCAACTGCGTGGTGCGAAAAAGCGCGCCCGACACAGGAGAAAGAATGCCGAAGAAAATGATTTAGCGTTTTGATACGCTTATCCCTCTTCTCTTCGTTCGTCCTGCCAGTTTTTTTTTCATGGAAATTCTTATGGAAGTTGGGGGTGAAGTGGCTGAAATTGGATTTGTACGAAAGCTGGATGATGGGGGAACGAGTTCGCACGAGGCAGTGGTGAAGTGAGGACTCTGGTTGAGAACGCGAGATCTCCGCTAAGACGTGCGTGTGAAATTCTAAATCCTTTCAGGAATTTGGCTCATTCTACACTGGTGATCTTATTCTCATTTTTTATCTGCGAAAGACAAGGAATTCCGCCATATGATGCTGTCAAATGAACAGATCCCTAATTCATTTTCGCTTGAATTACAAGCATTCGGGCGTATTTCGTGGTGACCACACCCAACGCGCTACAATTAGTCCCATTTAAAATGAATCATAAAACTTTTTGCAGCTAAGAAAAGCAATGAGTCTTATCAGCAAAGAACGTTGTGATCACGTGTGATTGGAAACCTGCATAGGTAAAAGCCCTAAAATATGATATCGCTATCAAACTGGCGGTTAATGAGCCGTCCACATAAAAGATAAAAGACTATTGAAACAATAAGATCTAAACGGAAACCAGCCAATAACGTGCTGAGACCTTAATTACCACACTGACAATGAGCTACTCTAACTCCCCACCCGTCTCGAGGGGACCGTGACATCACTGCCATGTTCATTTCTAGGTAATACTGTTTCCAAATGAAGGCAAGTAAAAAACCCAAGTAATTGAATGAACTCTGCATTTTGCGGAAACCCACTTCCGGCTGAAACTTCTCGACGAGGACCAAGACCACCGCTTCCCATATAAAAAAAAGGAAAAGCAGTTCATTTCCTTACTCTTTTTAATTCCCCCTTCACCCTCCACTACCCATTCTTTACACCCATAAGGCCAAATGGGTAAGCGAATCAGAAATGCATAGAGGCTGTCTGACAAGAGCTTTGAGTGAGGAGATATTGGAGAAACCCTATCACACACCCTAGGACTTTTCAATCAATGTTACAGACGTTGTCACTTTTTTCAAGGCATTCAAAAGACTTCAGTAACAGCTGCGACGACCAGCTTTCTCTCGAATTTTATGAGAATAGGAACTTCGCTAATATCCTACTATATATAATCCGCTATGTGTGTCTGTGTGTGTTGTGTTTTGGTGGGTCACGAAATTCATAACACCTGTCCAGTAAAACAGAGAAGGGATTGATTCCAGAAGTGATTGGAGGGAGTGACGGAACAACATGTGGTGGTGACAGGGTGTGATATCAGTGATAGATTCGATAGGCGTCAAAGGATGCGTCACCCAGTCAATAGGTGCGGATGCACAGCACCAGTGGGACGTGAGTCCTAAGCAGTGAATAGGCGGGCTGGAACGAAACTTATTGGTAGCGTGACAGGAGTGATATCAGCTGAAAGAGTGCATGGCATTAGAAGGGAAGGACTACCAAATTCTTAACGCAGGTTACAGCAACAGCGGGACCTTGGATCCGAGAGGCGCTATACGCTGTGGGACGGGAACATTATTGGCGGGCGACAGAAAGTGATAACAGTTGATAAGATCCGATAAGGGGCCTCGGAAGGAGATCATCAAATTTGTAACGCAGGTTTACAGCACAGGTGGACTTCGGATCGAGACGGTGATAGAGGGTGTGACGGAGCCATTTATGCGCGGGCGGACAGAAGGGTGCATAACACTTGGTAAGATACGATTAAGCGTTCTCGTGAACTGGGAGGGTCATCGAATTCGTAACGCAGGTTACAGCAACAGTGGGACCTCGGATCCGAGAGGTGATATAGGGTGATATGATAGTGATACGGGACGGGAATATTATTGGCGGGTACGGGAAGCGATAGGAGCCTAAAAGTGACAAGGTAAACATGGGAAAAGTCCGCTTCACCGCTCACAACAACAATGCGATCGATATGACTCAAGTATAACGATCTCAATGATTCCAACAGAACTCATTCCTCACTGCTTATTAGTAACGACATCATGTACGACCACTAAGCTAGTTAGCTCTATTCCAAATGCATGGGGTTTGTTTACAGAGATGTTATGAGCAGCAGCAATTGACTTAATCACTCTTACCACAATTATCTTCCATCAACAACCTTAGTGAGGGCCATTTAAAAGGTTCCACTGCTGAAGTGCGGGAGTGCATTCCAAAGCAAAGCGCTTTTGAAGGACAGAATGCATGTATCATAGACTGCTTCAGCGGCCATCCTAACAGGCTGCAATATTCCCGCGTAGGTTATGAACGTACCAGTCGGATCGCTGGCTAAGGCCGGCTCTCCTCCTTCTGTGATGCGGGGAGGGGGGGCCTGCTGCTGTGTTCTGTAGTCTTACGGAACGAGCGCTGCTTTTCAGTTCTTGGCTGATGCAGAAGATTCCTTTTAACAGTGTGGTTGGTCAACGATCCGTAACTTAGCACGCGGCAAATCCGCATGGCCCGGCTTCGCCGGGCCATGTCACAGAAGAAGGAGCGCGATGACAAGTGCTCACCACCCCTTGAGTCTCCGTTCATCCGGTGAAAAACACAGACCTATTTCCTTGGAACGTACGCCCTTGGTTGATGCTCATCTGCCGGTACGTCACGAAAAAGCCTATCCATAATGCGTCTGCGGACTATACGATTTCGGACCGATGGGAAAAGATAAGTTCAGGTATAGGTCACGCAAGGCGTGCTCCAGAGCTTCTGCGTATGACTAATCAAATATAGTATAACGATAACAGTAGATTGGACAACACAGAGATATTCCACAATAATCATCACACCCTATATGATAGTGATAAAAGAATAGAACGATCGAATGCGAGTTACGACTTAGAGCCTTTACTGTACATAGCTAGGACTAAACACCAAAAGGCATACCACAGCTAAGTCGGAACAACTATAGCCATTCTCTTCGCATTTGACTGCCTATGTATAATCAAACTGACAATACAGGACAGCAAACTCTCCCGAAAAAAAGCTTCTGGCCTTACCACTTAAAAGTTAGCATATTGGTCTTGGCCTCCGGTATTTTTCGCTGCGACTGATTTCTATCTGCTGCGTGCGCACCCCTGCTGCTAAAAGCAGCGCTGACTATCGGCTTTCTCAGCCATCCTCAAGACGCGCCGAATCGCGATGTGCTTCAAACTTTTCTCTTGATGTAAGGAATACACCCTTGACAGGCAGCCTCGCGCAATGGACCAGTATAATGTTGAGAAGCCTCCGTGGGGAAACTGCACTCCTTGAATAGCATAATCCTGGTAAGTGGTCATTGATAATTAATTGGGGTGGGGTGTTTAATTATGAGATAGTTCGGTGGGTTCTTTTGTGTGAAGGAGGGGGGGGCACGAACAAAGAGGCGTGAGACTAGAAGCAGAGCTGCCTTAAGCAGCGTGCCGAGATAGAAAAAGTCAAGAAAAAAACCGCCAAAATCCCTTGGAAGCCCTTTGCGAAAGTTGTATTTCAAGTATGCTACAAGATTCAGATGCGAAGGAAGCTAGGGTTCCGAATACTCTCGTTTGTGGATACCATATCAAATGCAATACATGACCGTTTTTTCTCTTTCACATTCAGTTTATTACTTGAACACCCTGCCCTCCTCTATTTATCTGATGTCAGTAACAACAAAGCTCCTTGAGCAGGTTGGCGTGACTACCTGCGACTTCTTCCATGGCTCCGAAATCGTTTTATAGCGCAGACATATGGCACGTCGACTGTGGGGTCGCTGCAATGAACCAAACGGGCGATCAAGGAATAGGTTTTTTCGATAGGAGCAATAGACTCAAACGCGATGAGCACTTTCATGCGTGGAGAAAGTGAAACGAAGAGAGGTCTAAGGTCCCATGACGTGCGTGGCAGCGGACAAGAGGAGCGCAACGAAGGTTAAGCCTCAATGATTAAAAGGACTGAGTTCCCGTCCCCTGAGTTAAGTGTTCTTAGGATCCTCATGAGCATTTGTGGCTATTAGATGAGAGGACATTCCTAGTCTTGAAGGCGTTTCCAGGCCAATAACGACACCCCAAGAGTGCACTCATATTTCGCGATTTGGACTTTCTAATCCTGCGAAGCCAGCGACCGCTCAAACCATGCACGACCAAAGCGACAAAGTCGAAGTACTAACGCACTCTAACAAACTTGGCGTGCGCTTTGGGGCCACGAAATCGGCCCAGCCTGTGAAAATGACCCAACCGGATGTAAACTAGTGTATTCAAAGCGGGGGCAGCTCCGGATGTGACTTGTGCTGCCCAATCCGAGGCACCACGACCAAGCTTGCAAGGCTCAACACACTACAGATTGCCGCGCTAGAACAACTGGGACTTGATGCGAATGTCGCGCACATCACACCACTGACAGCGCCCTGTCTCGCACCTCGCCGGCTTGCTGAACTTTATCACGACTGATCCACACATCATACCATGGGATCTTCCTTTTAAGGTCAATATTTCACAACTAAAAGCTCCTCACAATCTTACCTCGCCGGTAACACACTGATACAATAAACATCCAATACTCCACATGTCGACCTTGGAGTCATATTGACAAGTCTTCAAAAGATTAGCACCAACTTCAGGGGCCATATAGAATAATGTACCAGCTACATTACACAGATCCGGACCATCATCATCCAGAGTTCGAGCAATTCCTTAAGAATAATATGTAAGAATAATATGAAGAAAAAAAACACTTCTTACTGAGAAAATGATGAACTAACCGAAATCCGTGATTTTCGCAGCTGAAAGCTGCTTACTCTTCGAGATGTATTTTATCAAAATATTCTGCGGTTTAATGTCTCGATGGACGATTTTTAGGTCAAACAATCCTTTATAGCCACGCGCTATATTGTCGATGAGGACTCTAAATTCGCAATATTATGACAACGACCTGTATAAATTACTGATTACTGTTGTTGAGCGATAACCTGAGATTGGCGCTGTTCAGTCGTCCATCATTGGAATGATGTCTAATATGATTCTCCAGATCTCCATCGCATAGTTCCATAATAAGGCAACAAGTAAGTTCATCTAACTCACAAATATCCAGTACACCCACTAGGTGAGCGTTATTAAGTGCTCTGAAAAAAAAGCTAGAGGTGTAGGGTCACCACAGTTGAGGAGGGAAAGTGAACGCTAAGTCACGGGGATTGGGGTATTTCTGAGGCTACAGTTATTTTGAAAATACCCTTGTCGAACGAAGTAATCGGTCCACCCACCCCGGAGCTCCTTCTCTGGGCTTCGGCGGAAATCCATTACCTGGTACCCACTACCGCGGTTTTGAATGCCTTGAGATGGGTGTCGTACGTTGGGCACCACTCCCCCCCCCCCTCGCCGAAGGGGATCGTGGTTAACTGCTGAAAAAAAATAGGAGGTTGTTTTTGCCTTCATGAACAATGTGTTCGGTTACTTCGTTTCTCCTGCTTCAAGGTGCGTTGTACCTTCCCCTGCCCCAGGCTCCTTCCCTTTTCGCCAAACAATTTGGACCATGGGGTAGCCGCTTATGAGGAGTCTATGTACTCCAGCAAGCGAAGCCGGATGGGGATGAGTAAGGGAGGAGGTCGCACTATGAGGGGAAACGTTCAAGGAAGTTGCATCTCGCAAGCAGTTCCCCAACATCAGGACGTGCCCTGTCATTGAGTTAGATGCACCGAGGCGCTCCGTGTGAGGCAGTACTCGTACCTTGCGACACTAGAAGAGAGGAGAATAGCAAAACTTGGCGAACAACGAAGTTTACGAAAAGGAAGGTCAGCGCTAATATAGTTTGAGAACACTTGGCGCTGCTGTGCCCTTTCCTCTGACTGAGGCTTAGGCGTTGGGGACAATGTCCTCTTTGCAGAACTATCCGAGAGGGGTCGTATTCGGTCTGAGAAAATTTTTTTGGTAGTTGATTTGTTCTGTTCCGCTTCTTGGGTGCTGTTCACATTGCTGTGAGAACTCCAACGAGTGAGGGGAGGGTGGCGCAAGGTCGGGTGTTGTACTTGCTATTCGATGGGAGATGGGGTCGTGTTTGCCTCTAAGAGAAATTTGCCGCGTTGCATACAACATCTTCCGGTTGTTTTTCACGGTTTACTGGCAATGGCTTAGACAGAAGATGGGGAGCAGGGGGTGGTCGCAGCAGAGTACGAAATCGGTTTCACTGGCAATGGCTATTAGACAGAAGATGGGGAGCAGGGGGTGATCGCAGGCAGAGTAAGAAATCGGGGTGGG